AAAAAAAATACCTAAACACACCAAGAAACAAAGATATCTCGGCAGAAAAAACACAGAAGTTTCTTTAAAAAAATACAGAACTGCAAACATACAACCAATATACCTCCACTTTAACATTGACTTGTTCTGTGTTGGCTGAAAATATACCGTCTCCTTCCCCGTCAGAGACGAAATGCCACCTTGTGCGGTCCATCTTCAACATCAAAGTGTAATAAAACAGTAAACCCTAGCTTTCTACTGCTTAAATAGCAGGATTCACACGCTCTGATTTTTTAAAGAAGATTATCACGCAGTCATTCTTAATTTACGGCTCCGTGACTGCGAAGGGTTCTCGCGGATTACAACGAGGTTACAAACCCGGGAAAGCTTGCTTTGGATATTACAGAAACGTTACACGGAAGGTACATTGGTCGGGCGGGGTGTAGAGGTTACCAGGGAGTTACACAGCCTCGGATCATACCGCAGCAAAGTTATGAGGAAGGTTTTGAAAAGCCATTTGAAAGACTCTGTTGTCTCATCTGACAAAAAACCATTTGCCAATTGTGGTTAACACCAACAAAAGGAGCACAACACAAGTTATATCTATTTAATCTATAGCTCGTATAAAAAATGATAACATCACCAAAGCAATCATAATCATGCCTAGAAGTGCCATCACACAAAAAAAAACTCTTTAGCCTACCACTCTCATCAATTTCGAAGTCCCACTCAAACATGTTATCCTCAGCACGTCTCTCTGTGAATTGCAATAAAGCATTGGCATCGCCGTTTTCAATTCTACATCTCCTCTCTCTTTGAATGAAATTAAAGGCATCTATCTTGGTGCACTCCAATTTCTCAACTCCTCCAACTTCTGTGGCTAGAAAGTTAAATGCATCTCTAGGTCTTATGCCTGACTGTGTCATCGATTTGAGAACCTCTGCATTCACTTCGCTTATCTTTCTACTAGACCGCAACAGATGCTTATCACCAGGGTTAGCTAAGGAGTGGTTATGAGACTCAATGAATTTTTTAACTGTCCAATTGCCTTCAACATCAACTGCGTAACGAATCATTGCCGGACAACCGGTTCTTGTGTCCGCTCTTTTGTACTTAACAATTTGTGTGGCCTTCAACTCTTTCTTGAAACCTGCTCTCCCACAAACAAAGTCTTTCGATTCTTGGCATATGATGAGCGTAAGCACAATATACTTCGTAAGCTTCTTTTTCATTGTGGACAACCGTTTCAAATAAAATATTTCCACTTTCATCTCTACATTTAGCTTCACCCTCATCCAACTGCAAACAAATATAAAACTATATTAAACTACTATTAAACTACCCTACAACCCTAATTAGCACATCACAACAAACAAAACAAAAATCACAATTTTATAGACATTCAAATCCATAATATTCTTATAAATCATACAACAAATAAGATCACCCTAAAAAAAGACTAAATTTTAATAAAAACTGAAGATTTATACATGAGAAAATCACCATAAAACACGACAAGATACACACCAATGAAAACACCAAAAAAAAATACCTAAACACACCAAGAAACAAAGATATCTCGGCAGAAAAAACACAGAAGTTTCTTTAAAAAAATGCAGAACTGCAAACATACAACCAATATACCTCCACTTTAACATTGACTTGTTCTGTGTTGGCTGAAAATATACCGTCTCCTTCCCCGTCAGAGACGAAATGCCACCTTGTGCGGTCCATCTTCAACATCAAAGTGTAATAAAACAGTAAACCCTAGCTTTCTACTGCTTAAATAGCAGGATTCACACGCTCTGATTTTTTAAAGAAGATTATCACGCAGTCATTCTTAATTTACGGCTCCGTGACTGCGAAGGGTTCTCGCGGATTACAACGAGGTTACAAACCCGGGAAAGCTTGCTTTGGATATTACAGAAACGTTACACGGAAGGTACATTGGTCGGGCGGGGTGTAGAGGTTACCAGGGAGTTACACAGCCTCGGATCATACCGCAGCAAAGTTATTGTGTCGGTTACAGCTCAGTTATAACTCTAGGTTACAACATGCTGTATGAACTCTCGGTTACATATCAGTTATAGCTCGTTCATTTTTCTAGGTTACACGAAGCTATGTTACGTCTTGGTTAGAGCGAGGTTATTAACACGGTTCATTCGTATTGAGGTTACTGGAAGGTTACAAGCCTGTTATCCGAGCGGTACCGCGGTAATAACCCGCTTAGTTACAAATCCTGTACCGCTCGGTTATAACTCGGTTATAATCGAGCGGGTCGGGTCGACGGGTCGCGGTCGCGTTGCGTTTGAATGAATGCGGTGGGACCGACTGTGTTGATTTGTGAAGAGCCCATTGGAGGACGCAGGTATCGCAGTTAGAACCTTGATATTTAATCTAATTTCAAAATGTTGACAATGGGAAATCTCAAACTCCGATACTACATACGTTTTTGTAGCCATTGAACGAGAGAGAGTGCGTGTGTTCCTGCTTCCTTTCTTTCTTCTTCAGTGAAGCATGCAGGACACAGAGGAGATTCAGAATCTCCCCATTGACATCGCCTTCGGTCGTCTCGGAGGTTGTCGATCAACCCTTTGGATTTGTTTTTCTGCGTTTTCAGCTCAAAATTGCATTTTTTGAGTTTTTATTAAATGTTTTTTTCGGTTTTGTGACGATGGTTTAATTTTTGATGCGACGGCAGAATGGCTAGTCGTTCGGAAGAGGATCGCGGGCGATTGGAGGAAACGCATGAGCTCTATCAGGACAAAGATCTCCTTGGCCTTCTCCTCTCTCCCCAAAGACCTTGATCCTTTCTTCCTAACCCTAGACGCTGAAGGTAAAACCGCATTTTTGGTTTTATTTTTATGCTTGGTTTCTATCTTTTGAAGGCAATCTTTATAATTTGTTGATGCGTCGATGATATTTTTTATGATCAGGAAGATCTGTCTGCATTAGCTTGTTAATAATGTTAAATAGAAGTCAATGTCGCCTAAATCATGAACTGAAAAGTTGGCAATAGTTGTAGAGAAGAATCTAAAAAAGGTGTGGCTAGGTGAAGTAATAGTAGAGAAGAGATATAAAAGGTGGGGCTAGATGAAGGATTGGCTCCTCAGAATTTAAAAGCAAAACAAGTATAGGTCTCGATACTTGTTTTATGTCTATCCATTGGTTCTCGTAAAGTACATCATCCACCTTTCCAGTTTATCCTTTGCACTTGGTGACAGTTGCATCTACTGGTGAATGTTGAAATTCTTTTCTTGTGGGGGCACTATTGAAAAATTAGTATAGTAGTGAAAACTCTAATTCTCTTAAAATTCTTATATTACATACTTATACTAAGCTTAAAAGAATCAACTTGATTTTTTTTTTTTTAAATTTATCACAGCAATATAAATATCTTGCATTAGCTGCATACAATTAGAAAAAAAATAGTAATTTGAAATTTTCTATTATGCTTAGCTCCAAATATTAGAAGGAAATCATGATAGGTTTGTGGCAAAATTCTTTCAACGAACTTTCTTGGTGATGCCTCAATTGTTGGAACTTGTTGAAAAAATGATTTATTGCCAAAAGCCACCGCAATTTTTGACATATAGAACAAAAAAAAAAAAAAAATCACAACTTTGCAATGTAAATTTGTGCATAATTTTCTATATGTACATTAACATAATTTTCTTGCCAATGTATTGTATCATTTAATTCTAGACTTTTGGAAAGAGAGTCATTTCAAACTATTTATATGAGCAAATCATGATAAATTCATATTAATATTCATTCCTCAAAGCATTTTGAGTTATTGATGATTTCTAGGGGGACTTCAATTCATTTATGCTTATTAAATGAGCATATCTAAATTTGCTATATGGTGAAGTCATATTATTATTCATATTAATTAATTTTTTTTTCTCTTCCATGAAAGAATTGGATACTGCTTAGAAGGAGTGATGGTTATGTCGTGTCAAACATTAGTTCTTAACAAATTTCAATTTGACTCAAAAAAGCTTGTTTGATATGCGTATGAAGCTTTGTTGACAAACTTGGTTTTGATTGATGGGCTAATTTGGTTTTATTGGTTTTTTATCATGAAAGCTTTCCCAAGCTTAGTTTGGGTTGGGGCTTTCATCTAATGTAAGACCTAAAAATTTAGCTTATTTATATGAGCTTGTTTGCTGAACCAGTTCAAGTTCATTGGGCTCGGGCTTACATTTATTGGAATGCCCACAATATTGGGGACGAGGAAGGCTTAATAACGAGTCTTATTGCCCTTAATAACTATGGTGCCCAAATTAGTTAAATTAGTTTAATGGCTTGTTAGATTTGTATAAGCCTAGTTAATTGGATTGAGGTTTATATTTATTGGAAGGCCTATAAATTCAAACTTACAATCTCAAGAGCAATGAGATTCCAATAAGAAAACTTGATTCAAATTGTCATTATGAACTTTGATTTGAGTATTAGTAATTACAACTTCATATGTTAGATGGGTGTAATGAACTACAACTTATAATCCTAGATTTAATAAGAATTGACTTTGGTTCTTTTTTTTCTGATTTTAGAATGACCTTAAAGATGAGTTTTATTATATCTTATAAGCAAGATGACCCATATGGTGAGTCTTCCGGCCTCAACTTGTAGGCAGGGCAATCTGAATGATGGATTTTACGAGCCTTGCAGCAAGATATCTTGAATGGTGAGCCTTATGACATTTTTCTGTAGGAAAAGCATTTTGATTGGCGGTTCTTAAAAGCTCGCCAATGGGCAAGTCAATCCAAATGATTTTTCTTATTGCTTTTATACAAGCATGTATTATCCCTAGGATTTCCCAATAAAAGACATTGATTAAGCTACCATTTTAAACTTTTGATAGGAGCAGTAGGACTTGAACCTTTTTTCATCGAAGATGTCTTATAGTATATTTGTTATAACCTTAAGTTTAAGGGGTGCTTGAAATTAGTCTAATATTTTGAATTTAGAATAATCTATAAGGATGTGTCTCATGCTCCCATCTTATGAATAAGATGATTTGATTGGTGAATCTTTCCACGTCACCCTATAGACAAGTATGCTCAAATGGTGGGTCGTATGATCTTGCCCTATAGGCAAAGTAACACTAATGTTGCGTCTTATGACATTGCTCTATGGACAATGCAACTAAATTGGTAGAATTTGATTTTTAATGCAGTTTGTATTCTAACTCTTGTATCGAGATGGCTTTGTTAGGGCCATGAGATTAACTAAGGGTCATCATATTTATACTCAGGTCTTGGCCTGTTTTCTTAGCAACTTGGTTGACATTATATATATTTCAATTAAAATTCTGTGATAGTACGATGGCTTGATCTTTAGAGGGCGGGAGGGGGAGGGAGGGAGGGAGGGAGGAGGGACGGCCTTTTGATGGCCGTATGCAAAGATTAATGAAGTGATCTACAACTCCAAGCAATCAAAGATCGATAGCACAAAGGTCTTCAAATTCTGGCTCAATAAAAAATCAATGATGTAAAGATGTTCAAGTTTCAATAAGAGTGCAGACCTATGACGCAAATATCTTCAATCATCACTAGGATCGATGTTTAGTGGCTCCAAGTTTTTCAAGCACGATTAGATTGAAAATCGACAACTAGGTCTTCTCATTAACTAGATCAAAAGTCAATGATCCATCAACATTTGCCCCCTCATTTTTGCACGAGGGAATTTCTAAGAGCGAGGTTGAATGAAGAGGTAGTAAGCTTGTTTATTAAATGTAGCCAAGTGTAAGTTTAGATGGCGAGGTTGAGCTCTAGTGGTTGCAGAGCTTGAAATTGCGGAAAGGCTTTTTGTTGTAAGAGGAAGAGTTGGACTTTGATTTTGATGTTGCAAGACTCGTGGAGGTTTAATTAGAGGAAGTCAAGCTCGAAGTTTTGATAAGCGTGGCAAGAAAATAGTGAAAGAATTAGGGTATTAGTGTGGGAATTGGGAATGAGCACTGAGGTTAAGTACAAGAGACACAAAAGGAGATGAGGATGGCAATGTCACTAGGGATTGGGTATGAGGATGCATTTATCAAGTCAGGGGAACATTTTGCTTTTAGGTTGTAGTTTATTATTTATGTTTATTTTTTTGGATAAACTTTTATATTCATATTTTAGCTATATCAAAAGTTGTTTAAAGCTACATTTGCTCAAGTTGGTCATACTGAAAGTTGAGAAGATTTTGTTTTCCTAAGCAAGCAGGGAACTTGAAATCAAATTAATTCAGTATCGAGATCAGCCAATTTTGAATGCTCGAAAGTTTTGGTTATTTTTAGTAGTCTTATATAAACCAGCTTAAGTGATGGGGAAGCCATGATTCTGTTGTTGCTTCTACTTTTGGTTATTAGGAGATTGAAATTACTTGTAATATTTCAGTTGAAAATGTATTGTAGTATTATATTATTTCGAAATCTACAAATTTTAATGGACACTAAAATGATTTTTCTGATGGGCTGTTTAGTTAGATATTCTTAAAATGCATATATTTTAGAAATGCGGAGTAATTAGAATGCTTGTATTTTAGAAATGCACAAGTTGCTTTAGTGTATGAAAATAAAATGCATGAAATTTTCCTTGCATTTGTTATACCACTGAAATGTGATGACTGATGGTTGGGAGTGGTGGGCCGTGATGACGAGGGTGGCAGTTGCAATGGGTGGTGATGACCGGGCTTATGATCGTTGGCATTGGTAGTGGTTGTGGGCAGTAGTGGGTGTTGAACTCCCACGATGGTGGCGGGTTTGTGAGTTGTTGGTGGTTGGTAGAGGCGACAGAGGAGAGGGGTGAGCGGCAACCGCCTATGTAGAAGGTGAGGTTGCAAATGGAGTGTTCCCTGCATTTAGAATTTGTTCAATTTTGGCAAATTCTAAATTCATCATAAGTATGCATTTTGAGGTACCCCAAATCCCCCGCACAAATGGTTTACACTTAGTGTACTTAAAATCGAACACTAAAAAAATTTAAACTCATGCATTTGTTTTGCTTTACACTCATAATATTTGCAACCAACGGCCTCTAAAAGCAGAGTGGATGAAAGCTTGCCAGAAATCACAAGAACAACATACCTAATGAAATTCAAGTGGACTATTCTCATTCATGTGTATGATGTAAATGATAGTCTTTCGAAGCAAATAGGTTTTAAACTTTTGTTTTTAGCCAATTGTATGCTTAACTTACCTATTTGTAATATTTACCCTTTCTTGTGATATTCATGTCATTTACAGCTATTGGCTTCTTGGAAGCAAAACATATATACAGTACCCTGCTGAGTACAACTACAGAAAGCCGTAATTTTTTTGGGCGGTTATCAGGTTCTGCTGTAAGACCTTTATGCCTTTTTTTTTTTCTGTAGATTTTTCCATTATATTTTTATTAAGTAGAAATCGATTATTCTTTTGGCAGGGTGAGTGGGAGAACATTGTGAGAGCATATGAGAAGGATTATGTGTTCCTTGGAGAGGCTGCTCAGTTCATTGTCCAGAATTGCAACTATGAAATGTATGCCAGTTATTCTTGTGAATTCAGGAAAAAAAATGCAATGCATTGATCTATTTTAACCAAATTGACTGATTTCATATTGGGTGAAGTCCTTTTCAGAAAAAGCAGGTGCAGAAAATTCAACAACAACTAGCAGAATTAGATCGCAAAGAAGTTGAAATCAAACGGAATGCTTCTCTTTCTGCAGCGAAGTATTCAGAATCTTGTCAGGAGCTTGGATTGCAAGTCAGTTTATTAAAGATTGTGTAATCAGTGATACATCATTATATTTTAATTGTTGATCACATTGAGTTGATTTTACTAAACTTCAGATAACTAATGTCTATTGCTTTTTCACTGATCTTATTCGTTTGGAACTTCTCTGATTTAGGGCATAAATGTGAGGCTGGAGCTTTTGGAGACAGCTAAATCTCTTCCTGCTACGATCAGCAGAATATTGGAAGTTCTTAATGGTGATTCAATGTTAAAAGCTATTGAGTATTACTCAAATTTTTGCAGAGATGCTCATACAGAGAAAGAGGTTCCTTTAATAATTTTTCAAAATTTTAATGTTATATTGTTCTCAAAATTTTCTTGTAGTTAATTACAGATGCATCGAATAGCTTTTTACACCAATTTTTTATTAATTGCAGAACAGTCCACTTGTTGTACTCCAAGCTTTGAGGAATCTTCTTGAAAATCCCCCCTCTCTCAATGTCTCCGTGTCCCTTGAAGTCCAAAATTCTCTGCACAACCAATCAAATTTGTGTTCTGCTTCTCCTATGGCAGTCGAAGGATCGGCTGATATCAATGTTGCTTCTGGTTTTATTGATTGGGACATCTCTCTGGGTGATACTCAAATTGATTGGGATGTTGAACCGACTGAAAACTTGGGGGATGATTTTGGTTTTGATGGGATAATTGATGCTCAAAAAGACTTGGAGGAATCTGAAACTGGTGTTGGTGTGGTATCTGATAATAATAAAGCACTAGATGTTTTCAAAGGGAAAAGCATTTCTGGAGCTGAGGAAACACAGATATGTTGGGATATTAGCATTGAGAATTCTCAGATGGATGTACCTGAACATTTTGCTCCACCAAGTTCAAACCAAGAAGTTCAACAGATTGATCCAGTAGTGTTAAGTGCACCACAATCTTTAGAGGAAGAGAGAAGCCAATTTTTGGATTCAGAATATAGGAATAAAATTATTGATGATTTATTTGAGGTATTTTCCATAACATTCCGTGGGTTAAACCAACGTTTTCAACATTTTTGTTGTTACAATTTGAATGCCTGCGCACATTTTATTCTCTTCAATATCGCAGAAAGTTGTGGCTAAAAAACTTGTATATAATCACATGCTTTCTTACAGTTTACTGTCCATAATCTTAATTGACAAACTTGGGATGCACCACATATGTGAGCAAACAACATTTTGGATTATATAGAGTGGCTGACTGGTTCAGTCAGTCAGTCACTTGTTGACTGCTTGCTTTCTGTTTCTTATCTGTTTCTTTTTTTTTAACTCTTAACTAATAAAAATTAAAACTTCTTTTATTGATCGCTAACTTTCTGCCTCGTTGAAAGAGATTATTAAAGAAAATTTGTGTTACATATTTTCTGTGGCTATTTGGCTATGGGAGATTGTGTTTCTTGTAGAAATTATAGAAATCATGAGTTGAGACAATATCAATCATAAGTTGATTCATTGTGAATTAATCTTGAAGTAGTTGGAGTAATATATAATTTTCTTTACAGGAATAGCTGATTAAAATTATAATACATGCAAAATTTAAAATAAACTAAGTCAATTTTGTGTTTTCATTCTCTACTAGTCTAATCTTCCACCTTCATTTTTTGTAAATGATGAATTCAGCCCGGCATCAATTCCACTCATGCAATCCATTATCCATTGATGTATGAACCAACCTAGAAACCATGTCCTGTGAAATAAAATTTAGTCGTTCTGTTTTTTTGTTTATTGTATTATTATCTTTGCTTTTCATCCTTTATGATACTTTAATTATTATTTCAACAATTTTATTTATTATCAGTGACTTTTGAGCCAGTATTTGTTCTTCTAAATTCGTATTCACAGCTAAAATCATTTCTAAATCAACGGCTAGTGGAAATGAGAAGTGAGGAGACATCCTCTTTGCAACATCAAGTTCAGGCTGTTGCTCCTATTGTGCTGCAACAATATGCTCCAGATGTTGTGGAGGCATTGCTATCAGAGGTATCTTTGGCCATTTCATTGCTCACAAGCAGGAAGACTCGTGACATGATTATGATTCTTAATTCAAAAAGGTTATGTTTGATACTAATTCTCATATCCAACAGCTTTTTTCATGATAATTTGTGCTTCAAAGTGCGATGAATTATCTTTCATGCCATATTAATCATCTTCTTATTGAAAACTTTAGATTTCTGGATAGATTGGTGTCAACAGTCGAGGAAAAGAAGCATCATGAAGAGAAGCTTAGAGAGAGTTTGAAAGATTTGGCTGTGAGGCGGAGAGAGCTGCAAAATACTCTAGCATCATCCTGGCCTAAGCAGGTGTGTAAGAATCCTACTTTGTTTGAGCATTCATTGATAAGTTCCAACTGAAACGTGATGATTAGTTTGATTAGTACATTTATTTTAGTGGCATACATTTCATTTACAGCCCCTTAACAAACTTTGTTTTGCAAACCTTTTTGTTTTAGGGGCTTTTACATACATAGCACCCAAAACTTACCAATAAACATATTTCACACCGAAACTTCTATATTTACAAAAAAACCTCTCCTCTAACTTCTGTTAATGATTCCATTGGGGAATTCATCGCGGACGCCTGCTTCAGTGAGATGCTCTTGACAGCAACCTTCTCTTGCCCTTGATGCAGGGATCTCATGGGCAGGAGGTGAGAAAGACATCCTCTGGCGACTTCGAACAGCTGCTGGAAGCTTGCTTGCGGTGCTGCAGGCCGCTGGCAAGGCTGTTGGCAGCAAACGACAAGCCGGTGTTAACAACTGTGGCGGTGGCACATTTGCCAGAAGCGTTGCGGAGGGCTTCCAGTGTATCCTCTGAGGCGGGATAAAATTACAACTTCAGAATCATTAGTTGTACATATGATAAACTCGTAACTGAGAGATTTTTTAAGCCAATGTGGTGGCTGCCTGTGTGACGAATGACAGATTGGAGGGCTGACTTTGCAGGCGGGATGTAGGCGGCTACGGCACGAATGAGTTTTGGCTGTGAGATGATGGAGAGAGGATGGGGCGCTCCTAGGAGGGTGGCTTGTGAGTCTTGGTGAGAGGAAAGGATGCTATCGAGAGCATATTGACGGAGCTGGTGTCCCCGATGGAATTCCCGAACGTAATCATTAACGGAAGTTAGAGAAGATACACTTTTTTTGTAAATATAGAAGTTTGGGTATGAAATATGTTAATTGGTAAGTTTTGAATGCCATGTTTGTAACAACCCCTTTTGTTTTTTTGAACTCTAGTCTTCTTGCGCATGCCTACTTGACAATAGTGAATCCAGGTCTTAAAAAAGGTGCATGCAGTGTTCCAAAGCATTTATATAAGTAAAATCAATCTATTTAAATCAGCCTGAAAGGATTTCTTTAGGCTTTAAATATTGGTAAACAAATATACATATTTGATGGAGCTCTTAATTCTAGAATGCCTTCAGCATCAAGTAGTCCTGCTGCAGTTGTGCTGCATTATTGAGTCTGGCCATCAAAGTGTTGGAAGATGGCACATTACCACATGAGGTACTCAGGATTTGTTTGGGATAGCTTTCGGCCTATTTGTTTTTTGGACCGTCACCACAGTTCTATTTCAGAAACTGCTTTCTTGCTATGTTCTTTTAGAAATTTTATGGTCGAAAGTTAAATTTTGTAACCAAATTTGTTAGTGTGATGGCCGTAAGAAAACTAGTCCGACTTTTTATAAAAAAAAATATTTCTATTTCCTACCGCATTTTTTTAAAATGCTGATTCCTCATCACAATTTTACAACTACCTCTATAAAAAGCTGCGGCCGCCCCCAAATAGACCTTAGTTGATGCACAATCAAATCTGCTGACTTTTATACTGATCTGAATTCCCATTTGTGATGCAGGAAGCTACAATCAGAAAAACAAGGGAGCTGAAGGAGCTCTGCGAAACGACACTGTCCTCATTATTCAATGGAAGACCAGTCAATTTAATCGGCGAAATTAACAATTTGTTAAGCAGCGGTGTTGGTGCATAATGCAAATATCTTCAGAGAACAATTTGGGCATTTGAAGGTGCTCTTCATGCGTTTTTTACTACAAAAAATAGTAGTATTCTTTTTTACTAGAAACTTGTCTGTTATGTGATGCACTTACTTTATACTAGTTCATATAAGCCCACTGATTTATTTATTGGAAGTAATGAGTATACCCTATTTTCGTGTGGAAGAACAAATTCTTCTGTTGTAGAAACATATTGCCACTCAGTTTTGTTATAACTTTTAGATTAAAATTGATCCACGCCATTTTTATTCGTTTTGAGCTTATAATTTCTCTTTCTTTCTCATATCTTATTCAGAGTAACCAATTCAAAGGTTCCAAAGTGTGAAATGATAATGAATTTATGAGGGATGCGACTTAGGAGAGATAATGTAGGGGTTCTGCATGTTAAAGTCCCAGTTTTAATTTGTAAATATCAATGTTTGTGTGACAATGTATGAAATTATTCCGAATAAGAAATAAATGATATCGGGGTTTGTAGTTAAAAGAAAAATGAATAGTACTAAATTTAAATATATTTGGAATTCCCTTTCTAATTTATTGTTATTGTTTTTGGAATTCATTTGATCTTGAAATATATAAAATATACCTCTTCTGTGAAATGTTAATTTTGTTGTTCATCTGCTCTTTGCCATCCTACTTTGCCATGGTTGGCCACCACTGTCAATTTCCAGCCATTGGTCGGCTATCGTTGCCATTGATGCTGACTTCGACTACCATCGATGCCAACCACCATTGATGTTAGTTGTTGCTAGCGGTGGCCATGTTTGTCGTTGCTTGTCATTGTCAGCTGTCGATGACCGAAATATTTGAAATGCATTGCAAACAATATTACAATTAATAAATCTGTTTACAAATATATGACTTTTTGTCTTAAATTTTACATTTTCTGTTTTTTATTTTTTTTTTATATTTATTTTTAGTTTGTTTAGTTTTTGTTTTATTTTATGTTTTTAGTTTTTTAGAAAAATTATTAGGCACTATTATGATTTATATATTTTAAAAAACAATTAATATAAAATATATTTGATTGGGTATATTTTATTTTTTTAAAGAAAAATTTATTTTTTTTATAAAAATGTTAGGTCCAAGTGCGTTATAATATTAAATTCTGTTGCCAATGATATATACGATATTTTCCTTGCTCCACGGAGCATGAAACATTACTTGTAGGCAGGCGGGTGGCAGGCGGCAAGTTACGGCGGCTGCGATTGTGGGAGCCAGCGGCTGGCGGGCGGCGACAAACGAGCGGCGGCGACCGACAGAGGCAGAGAGCGGGTGGTCAGGCGCGGCGGCTAATATCGGTCGTGGGGGGGGACCGACAGGAGACGGGGGGAGAT